TCTTATGTCTAGTTGGTGTATAGTGTTGTTCAAGTCTTATATTTCTTTGTTGATATTCTACTTTTCTATCCATTACTCAAACTAGGTATTGGAGTCTCCCGGTATTGTTGAATTGTCTATTTCTTTCTTCAGTTTTATCACTTTTTGCTTCTTGTATTTGGGGCCTCTGTTTTGAGGTATACATGTTTACAATTGTTAGGTCTTTGTGATAGATTGGCCCTCATTATAAAATATCCTTTGTCTCCGGTAACCATTTTTTTTCCCTAAAATTTAAGTTATATTAGTATATACACTGCATCTCTCTTTCAGATATTGTTTGCATGGTATATTTTTTCCCATCCTTTTAATCTATTTGTGCATGTGAATCTAAAGTATGTATGTTTCACGGGGCACCTGGGTGGTGCATTTGGTTGAGCAGATCTGACTCTTGGTTTTGGCTGGGGTCGTGACAATGAGCTCAGCACTGGGCTCTGGGCTCAGTGCTGAAGTCTGCTTAAGACTCTCTCTCTCTGCACCCCCCGCCCTAGGCTCTTTCACTCTCACTCAGATGAACCTTGGGGCACCCCTGGTGGCTTAGTCACTTAAGCGTCTGCCTTCAGCTCAGGTCATGATCCCAGGGTCCCGGGGTCGAGCCCCACATCGCTTCTCCCTCTGCCCCTCCGCCTGCTTGTGCTCTCTCTCTTTCAAATAAATAAAAAAATCTTAAAAAAAAATAAAGTAAATGAACCTTTAAAAATAGCGAGTATGTCTCAGGGCACCTGGCTGGCTCAGTCAGCATGCGACTCTTGATCTCAGGGTCATGAGTTTGAGTCTCATGTTGGGTTTAGAGTTTACCTAAAGAAAAAAAAAGTATTTTTCTTGTAGCAAGCCTATCCTTAGACCATGTTAATTTATACTGCCAATCTGTCTTTTGATTGGAGAGCTTAGTCCATTTACATTTAATATAACTATTGATAAGCATTTATATCTGCCATTTTGCTATTCTCTCTATGTCTTAGGTATTTTCTGTACTTCTTTTTTTCCTTACTGCCTCCTTTTGTGTTTAAATAGATCTTTTTCTAGCATACTATTTTAATTCCTTTGTTTCTTTTAGTATACTTTTTAAAGTTCTTTTCTTAATGATTGCGCAGGGATCACAACTGACATCTTAAAACAATCTAGTTTGTATTAATGCCAAACTAATTTTAATAGTATACCAAAACTGCTGCACTAGAACTTCCCTCTCCCTTCTTTGTACTATTTCATACAAATTATGGCTTTATTGTATAAACCTATCAACTCAATTTTATACTTTAGGCAGTTTTTTTAATCAGAAGAAAAATGTGAGCAAACATACATTTATACTGTCCCTTATATTTACCCTTGTAATGACCTTTACTGATTTATTTCTTTATGTGGATTGAGTTACTGTCTAGTGTCCTTGTATTTCAGCCTAAAGGACTTCCTTTAGTATTTCTTATAGGACAAGTCTACTAGTGATGAATTATCTTAGTTTTGTTTATCTTGGAATTTAATTTCTCTTATTTTTGAAGGATAGTTTTGCTAGGCATAGAGTTACTGGTTGGCGATCTCTTCCTTTAGCACTTTGAATGTGCCAGCCTACTGCTTTCTGACCTCCTCCCTGGTTTCTGATGAGAAGTGCACACAATGAGTCTTTTTCTCTTGCTGCTTTCACGATTCTATCCTCGGTTTCAATAGTTCATGATGTGTCTAGGTGGAAATCTCTTTGAGTTTATCCTTCATGGAGTTTGGTGAACTGCTGTAGTGTGCAGATCAATGTTTTTCATCATATTTGGGAAGCTTTTAGTCATCATTTCTTTAGATATTCCTTCTACCTCTTTCTCTCTCTCCTTCTTTATGGGACTCCCATAATGCCTATGTTGGTCCACACATGGTATTCCACAGGCCTCTGAGGCTCTCTTAATTTTGTTCATTTTGGGGAAGAGGGGTTTCTGTCATTGTTGTTTTTCTTTTTTTTTTTTTTCTTAGACTGGATAATCTTAACCTTAAGTTTGCTGATTCTTCTGCTAGCTCAAATCTGAATTTTTTATTACTCTACTTTTCAACTTTAAAGATTTTATTTGTCAGAGAGAGAGAGATTGAGCACACAGCAGGGGGAGCAGTAGGCAGAGGGAGAAGCAGGCTCCCAGCTTAGCAAGGAGCCCCCTATGGGACTCAATCCCAGGACCCTGGGATCATGACCTGAGCCAAAGGCAGACGCTTAGCTGACTGGGCCGCCCAGGCTTCCCTCTACTTTTCAACTTTAAAACTTCTATTTTTTTAGGGGCGCCTGGGTGGCTCAGATGGTTGAGCGTCTGCCTTCGGCTCAGGTCATGATCCCAGGGTCCTGGGATTGAGTCCCGCATCGGGCTCCCTGCTCCTTGGGAGCCTGCTTCTCCCTCTGCCTCTCTCTCTCTCTCTCTCTCTGTCTTTCATGAATAAATAAAGAAAATCTTTAAAAAAAAAAAAAAACTATTTTTAAAAAAAAAATTTTCTCTATCAATATTTTGTACTTAATGAAACATATTGTGCTCATAACTTTATTTTCCTAAACATGCCTTCCTTTAATATTTTGAACTTATGTATAATAGCTGATCTAAAGTCTTTGTTTACTAAATCCAAAGTCTGGACTTCTTCAAAGATAGTTTCTGTTGGCCGCTTTTTCTTTTTGTATATGGTTCATATTTTACTGTTTCTTTGCATGTCTCAATATTTTTTGTTAAAAACTGGACTTTTAAATAATGGGCAGCTCTGGAAATCAGATTCTCTCCCTTCAGGAGGGTTAGTTTGTTTTTATTTTTGTTGTTGCTGCTGTTTGTTTGTTAGTGACTTTTTGGAACTGATTCTCTCTCTAGTTTGTGTTTTTTGTCATTTGTGACCACTGAATTCTCTTCTCATTTAGCTTAATGGTTAGCTAGTGATTGGAAAGATTTCCTTAAATATGTTGAAGCCATAAATCTCCCAAGTTTTGCTGAGGTGCTGTCTGTATGTTGGGGCATGCTTTCATTATTGCCAACAGTTCACAGCTCTGTTTTAGCCTTCATTTTGTCCTTGTGTAAAGCTTCAGGGTTAGCCAGAGTGAGAGATCAGGGCCTTTTCAGGTCTTGGCACACACACAGTCCTACACATGTACGTGATTTTTTTTTTTAAGATTTTATTTATTTATTTGACAGAGACACAGTGAGAGAGGGAACACAAGCAGGGGGAGTGGGAAAGGGAGAAGCAGGGAGCCCGATGCGGGGCTCTATCCCAGGACCCCGGGATCATGACCTGAGCCGAAGGTAGACGCCTAATGACTGAGCCACCCAGGTGCCCCTGTATATGGCATTCTTGAGTCCCAGAAATATATTGGAACCTCTTAAAGCCCCTTATGGACAACCCATTCCCCAGGTTTTCCGTTTAAGCATTTGGTCAGCTCTTCTTAGCCCCAGTTGGTTATTGTTACCTCAGGCAGCCACAATGTTAAACAGTTCTCCCTTATTGTTTCTGACAAATGCCCCAGAGATAAGACAGAGGAAGCTTTGAGTCAGGTCAAATAAAGACAAGCCTCTAGAACAGAGCTTTCCAGCAAGCTGTCAGACAGGTCAAATGGTGACAGTTCTCTGGGGATGGCACATGTGTGGACCTGTAAAGCCATCTGGCCCTTCTGGTGACTGTTAGACTGCTGGTTTTTACAGCTACCATAGTTGCAAGACCGTTGGTTTTCAAGGCTAGCAAGGAGTTACCTATAGTCCTGGAGGAGGAGGATGGAATTAGTGCAAGTTAAAACAACATGAAGTTTGTTGTTCTTACCAAGACTCGGCCGTTTTTCTTGAATAGATGCTCCTCAGAATGTTGAAAGCCTTAAGTTAACTGCCAGAGTCCTGAGAAAGTTGATTTTTGACAGTTTTTGGCAATATTCTTGTTGCTTGTATGTAGGAGCAGATTTTTGGAGATCTTTACTCTGCCATCCTGAAAGTTAACAACCTATCAGTAGTTCATCAAATGAGGAACCCTGGTGTAATGAGAGTCTGCGGTGCACATGCTGTGTGCACTCTCACCTATTTTGCCTCATGTTCCCTTTCCTTGTCTGTCTTCAGTGTCTTGAGGTTGCCCCAAGGAAGTGTTAAGGAGCACAGGTTGCTGTAAACCAGTGGTCACGACTTTCACTTTATTAGGAATGAATCTTGACCTTTAGTTGGGCAGCAAGTATTGAACACTTAATCCCACATTACCAGAATGTGCTGCAGACCCAAGATCATGTTGATCTGCTGGATCATTTTTTCCTCTTGCCAAAGTTGCACTCTAGCCAACTTTGTTCATTGTCCTGTGAGGAAGTAAATCCATCATCTCTCTAAGTTAGGCTTGGAGGACAAAATACTAATAGTGAAAGTGGCCATTTCCTCTGCATACTGTTGGGATTTGAAATTCTGTCCAGATACAACATTAATTTCTCTATATCAGATCTTACAGTCCTGGTGAACAGCTTGAGTTTTCTGTTAATTTTTTTAAAATCTATACATACAAAGTCAAAGTTTTTGTATGTGATATAAATTTAAATTTCTCATATGACCAGAAGTGTTGAGTTATGGATATTTATTTTGTTACAGCCTTTTATTTCAGAGACCATCAGTCTCCAGTTGTATAAGAATACAAGTGCCTGTTGGTGAAAAATAAAGAGATTCTGGTCTGAAAAGCTGTGTATGATTGTATAGCTATGTTGCAGTTTGCATTTTTTTTTGCCTTTTATGTATTTGTGTATTTTTTTCTTACATGTTATATAATAATTTAACCAAGTCATCTAAGATGTGATATGAAATGGTAGAACAACAATTTTGAAATCTTGAAAAATAAAACTGGAAACATTTGCTTGTATTTTTTTTTCACCTCAGAGTGTTTTGTTAATGAGACATTTTATACTGCCATAAACTCAGGGCAGTAATAAAGGTGTTGATTGATTTTTGGATGACAAGGGGCTTCTCTAATTGCCGAATTTGACATTTGTGTCACTTCTGTTTTAGGTGAGCAAGACATGGAAGGTGATTGCAGAAGACGAAGTGCTCTGGTACAGGCTGTGCCAGCAGGAAGGGCACCTTCCCGAGAGCAGCATCTCTGATTATTCTTGCTGGAAGCTCATCTTCCAAGAGTGCCGAGCCAAGGAACACATGTTAAGAACCAACTGGAAGGTAGGCAGTAGCCAATATCATTACCTGTAGAAGAATAGCCTCCAAGGACACAGGAATCCAGGCCCTGGCTTAAATCCGGAGTCCCTCCAATTACAGCCTGAGGTTAACTGCCAAAAGCAAAGAGAGGAGTGTGGTGAGAGTCCTGTCAGCTGCTGGCGATTCGTTGCCCATTTTGTTCGCCGTTAGAGTGTCTGCCCCCATTTGCAACCACACTGCTTGGGAGCATCCTGTCCTCTAGGAGAGGAGGGGTGAGATTGGGGTGTCCATCACCCCCCCCGACGGCTAGGATTTGGAGTAGTGCTCTGTGCAGCCTCCTTTCCTTCTGGCCAACGCTGATGGACCAAGAAGGCAGAAGCGCCACCTGGATACAAAAGAGGAACTGAAAGTGCTATTTCCAGTAATCATATAAGAGGGAGATTTTAAACGTCTCCAAGGACTGTCTTCTCTCCCCTCACATAACCCACTGGCTTGCTTCCATAGCATTTATCACTTCAAAATCTCTACAGAAATATTAGATCACAGCGAAGAATTTGCACAGTGGAGTGTGTCTGTAGGAAATAACTGTCAAGAACATCATTACATAAAGCTGTTTTGAGGCATGACAAGACAGCAGTGCAGTGGTGGTGCCTCTTCCCACCTGGGGGCTAGTTAGTCCCCTGTATGGAAAGGGTAGACCTGCAAGTACTCTCTCCACTCCTGTAAAGGTCAATCCTAATAGACTTTGAGATCCAAAAGCTTTTGCTCATTACTGATGGTAATAGATTGCCTCTGTGCCTGTCCTTCCCCGGTCACCTCATAACCTGATTAGTGACGGGTAACTCTCAATCTGGGCAAACTCACACACTTTCTAGCAGAGTTAGAAAGGATGGCTATGCTAGTTCTCCTTGGAAAGATAGTTCTCAACCAGGGGCGGTTTTGCCCCCCAGGGGACATTTGACACATCCGAAGACATTTGTGGTTGTCCCAACTGGGGCTAGGTAGAGAATGCTACTGGCATCTACTAGGTAGAGGTTAGGGAAGCTGCTCAATATCCTGCCACACACAGGACAGTCCTCACCAAAAAGAATTATCCGGCCCCAAACGTCACTGGTGCTGGGGTTGAGGAACCCTGAATTCAAGAAACACTGCTCTTATTTAGACCATTACTCCACCACCACCAAATAAGAAGCACCTGGGCCCCACAGCTGTGTGCTCAGCATGTAATAAGCTCCTGCGGAGGCCCCCAGCCCTCTTGTGCTCCGTTGGGCCTGCGTGAGGGACTCAGTGAGAGGCAGCCACGAAGGTTCGACGGTGCTACTTAGACAAGCTGGGTCCGGCCCTGCAGGAGGGGCTGGAACTAAAGGAGAGCTGGCCAGTTGGGCAATAACTAGGGCCTTTGCCTCCAGAAAGGAGGGATGCTTTTGACTTGTGCGCCTGGGAGCTAGAGTGTCAGTGAACACTGGCTCGAATTCGGAGATGTCAGACCCTGAGAGCACACAGCGGCTAAGTTTCTGTTTCCTCTTCGGTGATAGAGGAAGCCATGGAGGGAGGCAACTCCATCCTCCTCATCTGGCTGGAGGTGGCAGCAGTGAAGGCGTTCAGAGACCCACCTGCAAGCATCTGGCCCTTCATAACTGTTTGCAGGTTACATACAGTTGAACAAAATGGCTAGTTGTTTTTTCTCTAACAAGCACAAAGCTGTTTGTTTGGTAAGCACTCGATAAACGGTGGTCGATTCAGTGAACTGGAGTCAGACTCTCTGGAGCATCTCGGCCCATTTCCTGGCCCTGTTAGCAGTGAGGACTACCTAAGTGAAGTGTGAAATGACACGTCATGCACTAACTGTAATGATGGAATTCTTACTGTGATTCTAGGAAGAAAGCCCTATCAAAGTGTGAAAAGTAGTGTTAGAGCACGTTGCTTTCCCTTTGGATGCCCCAGTTTTCTGCTAAGTGTGGCTAACAGTAGCCCGCTCGTCAGGTTGTGGTGAGGGTGATGAACGCGCCTCCTGCACAGCATGGCCCATGTCCAGTGTGATGAGCTTTGTACAAATGATTCCAAAATCACAAAGCACCATATAGTGGAAGACACATCTGTCCCTTGTGCGTCTCCACCCGGTCCCCTCAGGAGCGACGCTTGTCATGGCTTTTAGGGTTCCCTTCAAAAGTACCGTTTTCAGGGTGCCCGCGTGGCTCAGCCGGTCAAACGTCTGCTCAGCGGGGAGCGTGCTTCTCCCTCTGCCTCTGCCTTTCCCCCAGCTTGTGTTGTCTGTCTCTCTCTCTCTCTCTCAAAAAAAAATCTAAAAAAAATTACTGTTTCCATGAACCTCTGACCTTGTAGTCGTCTTTGTTTCCCCATCCTGATTTTTATCTTTGTACGGCCTTGCTCCTTTTATCCTCCGAGTGTTCGTAACGGTTGTTGACGGGTAAAATATCATTAAATACCTTCTGTCCTCTGAACTGAACTTTTTAAATACATTTGATGCATTTCTTCGGGTACTTGCCACTGCCAGCCTACTGTGGGTCGTAGCTGCTCACACATTGCCTTTATATCCTGTAACCCCCTCGAGCCCAGGAGCAGTGACCTCCACGTCCCATGCCCCATAACCCGCCCCGCCCCATTCAGTGCTTTTCCTGCGTGCGGTAGCGTGGAAATGCTAACACCTGATCGTATTAGTTGTCCTCTTTGCCCTTTGGAATGCCCCAGCCACTTTGAGCACAGTCGCGTGGTAGGAAATGGCTGTGGAACGTGGCTGGAAGTGAAATGCTGGCTTCCGCTGAGCACAAGAACCGTGTCAACTGCGTTCCCCTTTCCTTACACAGAATCGCAAAGGCGCGGTGAGTGAACTGGAACACATCCCTGACGCGGTTTTGTGCGACGTGCACTCCCATGATGGCGTTGTCGTTGCTGGGTAAGCAAATGCAGTTTTTTACTTGATGATTAACTCTTCATCTTAAGGTCTTTCCTTTTTCGTGTGCCACCCTCAGAGTCCCAGTCCCTGAGAACTCGTACCTTCCCATGATAGCTCGGGTTTGAGATGGAAAAATCTCCATGATTCTGTTGTCAAATGTTCAAGAGTCTGAAGTTAGTGGTGAGAAACGAATGGTGTAGAGTGTAGAGCTGTAATCCATTTGTCTCAATATGTCTTTCCTAGCTTTTAAATCACTCTTGTGGCATGTTAGGTTAGAGCTTCATTAAGGCAAACAGTCTGTGTTTTATGAAGACATAAAAAAGTCAAGCAAGAATAATACGTGTTGGCACAAACAGAGCCTGTTCTTACTCTCTTGCTCTGAAGCCGTTATTATGAGAAAGGGCTGTGGCCACACATAATCTTTCTTCCCCCACCACACAGTACCTATTTGCTGCTTACCTTGTCCTGAAATAGGTTTTTTAGTTGTCTTCATCACCAAGAAATTTAATTTTAGCTTCTGTAAATTCCTGTGGCTTCTATTCCGAAAACCCCTTTCATCAGTTCTTCCTATTTTACTAACATGGATGCAAATACGGTTTGTGTATTTCTTTAATGTGCAATGAGAAGACCCGTTTCATCTTTGGATTGAGAAGCGGTCTTGAACTACAGTCTCATTGTATACTTAATGCCCTAAGTAGAGACCAGGACACTTAAAACCCTGAGTCTGGATTGGCTTTGGGGTGAGCCCCCCAGGAGAGGTTCCTACCTGGAGGAAACCAAAAACAAATCTTGGCCTGAAGAGCTAGGTAGTAGGTGAGTGTTTTTCTTTAAAGAAGACTCTTTGCTTAAGAAGCATTCTTTAAAGGGCACCGTTGGAGTTAAAACTCCAAACAGATTATTTTAATGTTTTGTGATCTACAATGCCTAGAAAAAGTATTTTTGCTTTAAACTAGATATGCCCAGAAAGAACACTTCCTTAGCTTTTGTTTTGCTGGCCACAATTTAGAGGTTAATGCCCTTCTTGGGAATGCTATAGAACCACTGTTTTTAGAAAGATGAATGGACCTGAAATCTGGAATTCTATTCATTCAGTTATCAGTGCGGTTTTAGGCTTTTGCCTCTCGTTGCTAAAATGTGGGTCTAAGAGCTCATGCTACATAAGGTCCTCTCTGCCTACAAATTCTAAGACTCCGTGGTAACTCGGAAAGGACTTCTGGCCTTCCAGCTTGAAGAGGTCTCCCAGCGTGTCAGGAGGCCTTTGAGGACAGAATGTTGAGATTGGACTGAGAGTCATAAAGGAAATTAGAGATAAAGGAGACTTTAATCTCCAAAGCCAAGTATGAATTTGTCTGGACACGCACCTCACAAAGGCAGGCTGGCCACGAGTCCAGATGCTAGCCCTTCTTTTCCTGCCTCCCCGTTCCCCTGAGGTCTGCTCAGCATTACAGATTATGCCAGCACAACGCAAAGCGATGGCAGAGTCTCGTGGATCGATAAGATGAAACGTGATCTGTGGGTCAGAGAGGCTCCTCCCGGCTCCTCTTTCTAAGAGAATCTTAGGTTTATGGCCTAGCATCGGGTACTTCAATCTTGCTTGTGTGTAGAGCATCTTGTGTTTATCATTAAAATTTTATCTGGTGGTTACGATGCTTGTTTTCTGGGTCAGATCTCGAATCCCTTTTCATTTGAGACCATGGTGTTTGTGGTTACCTCATTCCCAATCAATGTTGTATTCACCCAGCTTTCTGCAGCTATGTATCTCCAAGGAGCCGCTTACAGAGACGCTGGCCACTTCACCATCTCTCGCCCATCTACTTAGCCTGTGTTTCTCTAATTTTCCTTCTTCGTTTCCTTTTTCTCCGTTTGAAAATAGGCAGAATTTGTTCAGGGGCTTCAGTTTTATGTGCCTAGAACTAAACTGTGTAACATCTTTGCATTGAAAGCGATTAGGTTTACTTCCTATAATTGACAGCAAAGGCTATTGGAGAATCTCTTGCTTCTTCCCATCTTCTCACGCCTTTGTGTAAAAAGTTCCTGGTTTGGAGTCGCCTAGAGTAATTTTTATTACAATTAGCCTCACAGTTGACCCCGGCTTGGGTCTTCCTTCCTTTTCTTCTCAAACCAGAGTAACCTTCAAATACTCATTCACTCAAGCTCACCCAAGACCCCGAGTACTCATCAACTGAGCAGGACCTGGATGATGCCTTTTATCCCAGGCTTGTGTTCCAGTGGAGGAAGCAGATATTGTCAGAACTTTTGATCTCTTGCTCTTTTTCCCATGAGTCTTTGTTTCCCTTATGGTCTCATGGATGGTAACTTCTAGTTACCTTTTCCTTATGTTCTAAGCTCTTTGAAATTTGTTTCCAACCTAACTTTCTCCTGATTACTCTCCTCCGGGTACCTTTGGCTTTTCCCACAGTTCCTGATTGCCTCTGGCCACATCTCTCTCTCTCTCTCTCTCTCTCTCTCTCTTTTTTTTTAATCGAGACCTGATTCATGTACCATAAAATGTACCCTTTTAAATTGTCAAAGTCAGTAATTTCTAGTATATTCACAAGGCTGTGTAAGTACCACTGTCTAACCCCAGAACATTACCATCACCCCAAAGAGAAACCCAGTCCTCTTTTAAGGTCCAACTCCAGTCTTGTCTCCTCCCAGGGGTGTCTGTAGTCCCCTGGCCTATTAACCCCCACCCCAACATCTGCCTACTTCCTAACTCCTGGAGAAGTGACTGCAGCTTATAGTGTAGCTTTGCCTTAATTAACATTGTTTTCTGTTGTGGCTTTACTTTGAAATAATTCACAGCCATGTATTTTCTGTGCAGTTAATTTGTAAGCTAGAGGTGGTATATAATATGAAGCGCCCCACAGTGCTTGTACATTGTTTTGTCTGAAAGAAGCATTACAATTTAATATGCAGAACCCCCTCCCACCTGGATACTGTGTGTTACATGGAAACCTGGAGAAATCCCTAATTTGTCTGGTCCTTGATTTCTTAGTCCTTTCCACTTAGAATCATGTCATCTTCAACCTGGAAGGAACCGTAGAGGTAAACTGTTCCAAAACCCTCCTTTTGCACGGCTGCCTGAAGCTCAGAGGTGTGGTGAGCTGGGAGGGGCACGCGAGCACTGCACCACTCCACCGTTCTTGAGCAGTGTCCACATGGAGGGCCAGGCGGTAGGGCTGCTTTCCTGAGCCCTCGTTTGCTACTCCCAACGGCTCATCTATGACAGCTTCGTTTTGGGTTTTCTTTTGTGGTATACACCATTCTTTTCTGTTAAAAATGAAGAAGTCGTAGTAAAACCATGTTCTTGCAAAACCGTTGGAAAGCAGAGAAGAGAAAGTCACCTAAATCCCAGCATGCTAACACGGCTCTTGTTACAGTTTTTATGTACGTAAGTTTTTCATTGTTTTTTTTTTTTAATGCACATTTTGACATAGTCCTAACCTACCTTCTATTTTGGCCTTTATTCCTCACTAAACTGGTGAGGTTTTTTTGGTGTTATTACATGCTTTTCATTATTTTCTTTCATTTGTTACAAAAACTCCTCCAATATAATTGTATCCTAATTTTTTTATTTGTTCCCCCAGTATTGGACATTAAAGGCATTTCCTGTGTTTTTTTATTATATAATATTGTGAATATTTTACATAGAGGTTTACAGATTTTTCCCCTTTTCAGTACTGCCAATCTTCTTTAAAAATTATAAAACACATGCTTATTGGGGCGCCTGGGTGGCTCAGTCAGTTAAGCATCTGCCTTTGGCTCAGGTCATGATCTCGGGGTCCTGGGATAGAGCTTCTCCCTCTCCCTCTGCCTCTCCTCCTGCTCATGCGCTCTCCCTCGCTCTCTCATAAATTAAAAAAAATTTAAAAATCACATGCTAACTATAGAAACTTTAAATTGCATATAAATGTGTAGAATAAAGAGTCCTACGTCTTTCTTTATCCCCCAGTGTGATGATTTTTCTAGGCTAGAGTCCCATTAGTGGAATTACTGGATTTGGGGGAATGAATTTTCATATTTTCCAAATTAAGAAATTATTTTTAAAAACCCCCTTAACTCTCAACTTCCTTCCAGTCTAACTTTTTGGTTTGAAGTCTCAAAACCATCCCTCAAGACTGCTCTCCTGAATCTACCTCCCTTCTTTCTGTCGGTGCCATAAATAACAAGAGAGGACCCATTCACGTCTTAACCTTTTACAGTCTGGTTTCCATCTCAGCCCTTCCACCAAGCTACACACTCTCTCAGGTCACCAGTGCTCACAAACCAGTGGCCTTTTCTTGGCCCATCCCCTTCCAAGTCTTGGCAGTGTTGGGTCTTGTTAACTGTATCCCTCTTAAAATGGTGGAGGTGGTGCATTGGGCTTCTCTGTACCCTCGGAGCCTAACACTGGACCCAGGACTCAAACTTTGAGGAAAGTGTGTACAGAATGAAAACTCCTCACGCTTCTGAGACCCTGCACTTTGAGCCTTTTTACTGCATCTTTGACCTGCCCAGGCTCCTCCTGTGGCCTTTCTTGCCTTTCTGTGGTCTCACCTGGCCACTTAGCAGTGATGTGCAATGTTGCAGAAAACACCAGAAGCAGTTGTTGTCTTTGCTGGGTAGATAAGAAGTTCCTTCAACTGTGATGGAGTGATTCAGACACAACCTTTACTTTGTTCTTTCAGCCCAAATTTCCCATTTCTTTAACCTGAGAAAATTTTGTGTTCAGAAGACACCAATCTCCATACTGTAAACCCCCTGTCTGTCTCAGAGTTCAGCCTCCGGCTGCATTTTCTCTGTGATGAGGTAGTGCTCCTGAAATGCAGTGAGGGTCGGTATGTGCTTTTCTGAGTATTTAGAAGAGAGCTTATCTGGAAAGTTTGTTGATAATAAGTGATGCAGAAGTGTGGTTTTTGTTTTTGTTTGGGTGATGACAGCTCTGAGAATTTTGAAATGTTTCTCAAATTATGTTTATCATTAAAGCAAAAGAACAGAAGAGATGAGCATATGAAAAT